TAAATAAATAAATAAATAAATAAAATTAAGGTACTGTGCCCATCTACAACTAAAAAAATTAAAATAAAAAAATTATGTTAATGAATAAATTATAAATATCTTCATACCAACCTGATTGATAATATCTGTTTTTCAACATTGTGAGATCTTTCATATTATCTATAGGATCATTTTCTCCAGAAAATTCTTCTCTTTCATTATTTTCAACCATATTACTTTGATCCAGTATCTGTTTGGGAAATGGCAACTCTGTTTCCTTTGGAATGTTCTGGAAGCTCCAAGGGTTATCAAAATTATAGAATAACTTTGTAAAATATGCTATGGTGTAAGAACCATCTGTTTTCTCTAAGACTTTTTCCTTATCTATTTGATCCTCTGTTTCCATAGTTTTTATCACTTTTATTTCCTGTTCATTATCGTGGACAGATTTACTTGTGAATTCACCACCAAACCAACCATTGGCTTGGGGTTTGAGTACATGCTCTGACTCCAGTGCTAGTGCCAACTGTTCCTTTGGTCCTGAATCAAATTCTGATTCAGGTTCTCGCTTATGTTCAGTTTGGGGCTCACCATTATTTAATTCCTCTAGGTTATTTTCATCTTCCACTGTTATTTTTCTACTTTGAAATGAGCTTCCTTGCACAGGTTCAGTGACTGATTCAAGAGCCTTTTCTTCACCATGTTCCTTTCTCAGTCCAAACCATCCTTGTACTTCAGTTAAGGGTGATGAGATATGATCCACTTCTGGAACGTGATCCTGTTTCACACTTCCAGTTTTGGCTTCTTCCCAATCATTTCTAATATCTTTAGAAGACTCTGATGTGGGAAATTGGCCGTCAGAAAATGCATAAAATTCAGATTCTATCTGGAAATCACTTCCATATATACTATATTTTTGCTCTTCTTCATATGGATACATATTTTCACCACTGTAACTGTTAAACTCCCTATCTTTATTTTCAAATATGTAACTTACTCCAAGGAGACAAAGAAAGTCAGATTCCTAAAAGAAAAAAAAATTGCATTTCACATAAATGTACTAAAGCTCCTCATTCTCTCTGTATCATTTAAAAAAGGTGACTATGATTTTCCCAAGACAAAACAATAAGCTCAACTTCAGAGCAAAAACTAAAATCAGATCTTCTAATCTCAAACACATCACAACTGACTTCTAAAGGTTAATAATATAAATCTAAAAGAAAATCCAGTTTTTTCTTTCTTTTCTCTTTTTATAATGAAAATCCTTTTACATTACAGTTTCTGAGTTATTAAATAGTTGAGAAGAAGAGAGAATCAATGCTTCAAGTATATTCTATAAATAAGCTCTTTAAGAAAAGGCATGCAGGGCTGGGGATGTGGCTCAAGCGGTAGCGTGCTCGCCTGGCATGCGTGCGGCCCGGGTTCGATCCTCAGCACCACATACAAACAAAGATGTTGTGTCCGCCGAAAACTAAAAAATAAATATTAAAAATTCTCTCTCTCACTCTCTCTTTAAAAAAAAAAAAAAAAAAAGAAAAGGCATGCAGATCCACAAAATATTACACATCTGAAGATTATACTGAGAGGATACATGTGTCTGTGTGGTGATATGAGAGACTGCTATGGTCTAAATGTATTCACCAAAAAGCCTGTGGTGGAAATTTAATTCTCAATGCAACAGTGTTAGGAGATGGGACCAAAAGAGAAGTAATGAGAGCAGAGAGAATGGATAAATTTTGCTATGGTAGGAGTGTATTCATCCTACCATGTATCCCAGGAGTGACTTCCTTCTCTGAATTATGAACTCAACCCCTTCTTGCTCTCTCATGTCCTCTCTCATCCTCTCACCTGCCACCATGGAATGATGCAGAAAGAAAACCCTCACCAGATGCAGGTCTCTTGATATTGGACTTCCTCCTGGTTTTTGAACTGTGAAAAATAAATTTCTTCCCTTTAAAAGTTTCCCAGTCTCAGGCTGGGGTTGTGGCTCAGTGGTAGAATGCTTGCCTAACATGTGGGAGGCACTGGGTTTGATCCTCAGCACCAAATAAAAACAAATATATTAAATAAAGGTATTGTGTTCATCTATAACTAAAAAAAATTTTTTTAAAAGTTTCCCAATCTCTGGTATTCTAGTACAGCAGCAAGAACAGACGAGACAGTAGGGAATTTTATTACATATTATCACAGCTTAGATAGACCTGTGATGCTGAAGTATGAAGCCCTAGTTAAAAGCTGTACTAAAACATTCAGATGTCCTTATTTGGATTTTACATATAACCAATGACAGTGAGGCTTTATTTGCTTATCTCACAGAGCAACAAAATCATAAAGGAAAAAAAAATTAAGAAGTCACTTTTTAAAAACCTGAAATTTTGAAATAGTGGTGTGGGCTCCTCTTTGGCTATTACCATTATAAAATGAGTATAAAGTTTAGATTTTTGAGGAAAAAACTTCAGAATTGCAATTTTATAATATATGTTTGACACTACAGAATAGTAGGTGACTAGGAACAGACATTGGATCTTGTCATCTATTAGCTCTGCGACCCTGGATGAATTATATGACCTTTTTATGCCTCCTTCTCCTGATCTGTAAGATGGGAACAATGATAGTCCTCTACCTTACAAGAGTATTTTAAGTATTAATGAGTCAAGTGTTTCGAATAGTAACTATCTCCAGTACATATTAGCCTCACCCAGCTCAAAGTTAAACTATTCCAGAAAAAATTACTTCTGCTACAGTATTATAAGGGTAGATGGCCCAACGCTCTTATTTATGTTCAGGATAACTCTAACCTCAGAGCTCCTTATGGAATCCAAGGCTACCTTTATTTTAACTGCATGACTTTTCAGCTTCTGTCAGCCCAATCCTGTTTTCCTTTTGTTGCCTTACAAGTACTGTGCCCAACAGTACTCCTCAGAAAACATGCTTCTGTGTCTGTTTCCTAGGGAATTTGATACAAGAATCTGGGTGAGGTAGGCATGTTAGTGGGTGCCTGTAATCTGGCTATTCAGGAGGCTGAGTAAAAGGGATCAGGAGTTCAAGACCAGCCTGGGCAACACAGCAAGGTCACAATCTCAAAAAAACAAAAGAATCCAGGCCCTTTTCTTTTATTATGCTACCATGCTAGATGTTAGGGTTCTACAGTAAGCAATTAAAAAAAAAAAAAGGTAGTTGTAAATTGCAATTAGTGCCATGAAAGAAAATCACATTAATGAAGCCAAAAAGCCAAAATTAGATAGGCAAGGGTTGGATCCAGAGAATGAAGAATTGAGATGTTAATTCCTTTTTTTTTTAAATATTTATTCATTAGTTGTAGTTGGAAACAACACTTTTATTTCACTTATTTATTTTTATGTGGTGCTGAGGATGGAACCTGGGGCCTCACATGTGCGAGGCGAGTGCTCTACCACTAAGCCACAACCCCATGCCGAGATGTTAATTCCTTCAGAGTACTTTCTCCACCTTTATTATCAGGATAACCTGCCCTTGCTCCAACCTGTTGCTAAGGTAACCTGTCCCTCCTTACAGGGAGTTGTTAATTATGCCCCCTTCCTGCCCAGATCACTCCAACCCATCTGCTTTCCACCTTTTGGCCATCCCACTGAGCATCTCCTGGGCCTAGTCAAGAAGGAGAGAGATAAGAGGAAGAGAGCAGGAGAACAAGAGCCTAAAACCTATAAAAAAGGCAGAACACTTTTCACTTCTTGGGATACCAGGATACCAGCTATGGCCCCCTTCTCCTTTCTGGGAGAAGTCTATATTAACCCCTTTTTAAATAAACCCTGTTTCATATGCTTGCCTCGGCATGCTTCTCTAATGTTACACTTCAACATGTGAGGGAACAGAACTTGTCACGATAATGATAACTGGTGGTATCATTAAGAAGCAAAAATTCCTGTAATCCCAGTGGATCGGGAGGTGGAGGCAGGAGGATCAGGAGTTCAAAGCCTGTCTCAGCAATTTAGCAAGACCCTGTCTCTAAATAAAATATAAAAAGATCCAGGGATGGTTAAGCAGGTTTGATCCCCAGTATTAAAAAAAAAAAAAAGCACTTAAGGAATAATTCCTTTAGAATCATCATGGAAAGCCTCTCTGAAGATTTTGTTGTTGTTTGTTTTTCTTTGTAAACTCAGCATACTTTTTCCCCCCAGCTGTATGAAAGACTATCAAAAAGTTGCACAGAATTACCTTATGTATTTTTCTGGGTTGGAACAAATGAATATACTGTTTTTATCATCACAATCCAGGTATGTGCCTATTATTCTAAAAGTTTTCTGGGAGGCAGAAAACTTTTTAAAAAATATATTTAATTGATTTTATTTTTAAAATACATGACAGTGGAATGCATTATAATTCTTATTACACATATAGAGCACAATTTTTCATATCTCTGGATGTATATAAAGTATGTTCACACCAATTCATGTCTTCATACATGCATTTTGGATAATGATGTCTATCACATTCCACCATCATTGCTAACCCCCTACTCCCCTCCCTTTTCCTCCCACTCCTCTGCCCTATTTAGAGTTTGTCTATTCCTCCCATGCTCCCTCTCTCCTTACCCCATTATGGATCAGTCACCTTATATCAGAGAAAACATCCAGCATTTATTTTTGGGGGGATTGGCTAACTTCACTTAGCACTATTTTCACCAATGCCATCCATTTACCTGCAAGTGCCATGATTTTATTCTCTTTTATTGCTGAGTAACATTCCATTGTGTATATACAGCACATTTTTTTTATCCATTCATCCACTGAGGGGCATCAAGGTTGGTTCCACAGTTTAGCTATTATGAATTGTGCTGCTATAAATATTGATGTGGTTGTGTCCCTGTAGTATGCTGTTTTTAAGTCCTTTGGGTATAGACCAAGGAGAGGGATAGCTGGGTCAAATGGTAGTTCCATTCCCAGTTTTCCAAGGAATCTCCATACTGCTTTCCATATTGGCTGCACCAGTTTGCAGTCCCACCAGCAATGTATGAGTGTGCCTTTTTCCCCACATTGGGAGGCAGAAAACTTTAATGATATTTAAACTGTGACCTAAAGGATATAAAGGAACTATCAAGATGAAGAATTTGGAGAAAGCATTCAAACAAAAAAGAAAAAACCTATTTGGGTCCCTGAGCTTTTCATGCTCTAAGAATGATCCAAAGGCCTATTAGATCAGGGGAATGGTGAATGAGAAGAATGGCAGGAAGCAGGAATCCTGCAAGAGAGAGGAGGGCAGGGGGCAATGACAGAACATGTAAATATCTCATTTTGTGTGTGTGTGTGTGTGTGTGTGTGTGTGTTTGTTTTTATATGATCATTAGAGAATGGATTAGAAGAAGGCAAAAGAAGAGGCAAGAAAAGTTAGAATGGTATGGTAGCATTCCAAACAAGTGAGGATGATGCCTTGGATTAGTGCTATAGGGAGAGCAGAAATTAGCAGAAGACAGTGTGCTGCAGATACATTATAGTAATAGAACTTACAGGACCAATTATTATACAATAAATGGACAGTTAATCCCTGAGTTTGTGTTGGGAAAAAGCCAGACAATAGATAATTGGTTTAACTAGATAGGCTCACATCACACTGACCTTATTTGCAATAAATTGGCCAAACCTGAAATCTGAATTAAATGGGCTAATCATGTTCATATATTAAAAAGTTACTTTCTGGGCTGAGGTTGTAGCCCACTGGTAAAGCACTTGCCTGGCCCATGTAAGGCACTGGGTTCAATCCCCAGCACCACATAAAAATAAATAAATAAAAATAAAGATATAGTGCCCCATCTACAACTAAAAAAATTTTTTTTAAAGTTACTTTCTGAGTCCCTTTATTGTTATTAAGATCAACATTACTAATTCATTAAAAACTCCAACAGCAAAAGAGGTACAAATTTGAGACCTAGGGAATATGGTGGGAAATAAACTCTGGTCCTAGTGGCACAGGAGTATTAAGTAATTGTCTCTAACACCTATACAGTACTTACTAAGTGTCTATGTACTTTTTATATATGATCATGTATTCCTCAATAAATTTGAGGAAGTACTATGTTATACTCATCACTCCCATGTTGTAGATGAAGAAATTGAGACAGGGAGAGCCACATAACTAGTAAGTATCTGAGTCAGGCTTTAAATTCAATCCATCTCTAGAATTCATGCTTTTAACTGTCACCTATGAATTGTTCTAAAAGCAGAATCTTTACCATCAATTTTGTCTTACCTAATTTTATTCATATCGTCGAACTCTTCCTAAGGTAAGTCCACAGACCAACTATTTTATACATTTACTATATGAGATACACAATCAATGGACACTTGTACAAGAAAAACTGTTTTGGCCAAGAAATTTTAAATTCAATTCATAGCTGAGAATGAATTTACTCACTTTAGTTGATATTTCAACCTCTTCAGATATGAATACCTCTTCAATCTGGACTGCATCTCTGGGAAAAAACCCAAAGTTCTTTCCTTTCTATCAAAATGAAGAACAAAAATTACCAAGGAGGAGTTATCAAAGCAATAATAACTATTGAGTCTGATTTTATACCATGTCCTTGGCTTTTATCTAAGTCAAATCACAAAACATTAATTGGCTATCAAATACCATCTAAAAAAATGAGTAAAATCATATTCTTTTATTATTCAAAAGAATAACATTAATTTAAGAACATACTGAGCCAAACTCTAAAATTCTACTGTTTCAAACAAAAACTACACCATATAATCATACTCTCCCCCTCTCTCTCTCTTTCATTCTCTCCCTCTGTTCTTTAATGATCTTGTTGAACAGGTCAACCATAGATTTACACTAGTAGATCTGGAATATAAAAAGGCAAGGCAGTGGCGGCAATAGCCATGGTAGACAGAGCTGTGACATAGTCAGCATTTTCAAGATGTAATGTTCAGGGAAGAGCCACAGATAGATTCATGAAAATAGTAAAGGCCCAGGAGTCATCAAGATAAGATTTAGTCCAATTCAACTTCCCTGGGATTGACTTGGTAACAGAGATTCTCTTAACCTGGTTCAAGCACATGCAAGATGTTGCCCTTCTAGAAATGTCAGTGTACTAAGAGTGTACGCCAAATAAAAAAACTTACTTGCTTTGGTCCTCTAATCCAGCACTGTTACAATAAAAGTGTCTCCCAGTTATTATTTTATTTTTCATAAAAACGCATGAACCTTGCTTCCCTAGGCTACCAACCTTTCTCATGATCTTTTCAAAAACAACTCAACCCTTTGTTTAGAAAAACAAGATAATCCCATTAACTAAAACTTCCCAGTCTCTCCCCAACTTGACATGGCAACACTAACAGATAGCTGGAATTGCCTACCCACCCCATAATCTACAATAGCACCCCTAAAGTCTCCCCAAATAAAAATAAAAGCTAAGTTTAAAATATATGCATGTTATACAAAAAATAATTTCAAGACATTCTCTTTGTCTTCCATCTCAATCAGACTATCTTTCCAAAAGCCTCTTTTATGGAAATATTAGAACCACCAATGAACATAACCACTTTTGTTTGTTTAAATGTTAGGGGCTTTAAATATTTTTTACAATACTTTGAAATCCCAGAGTTCCTTTAAAGGTAAAAAATAAGCATCCTTGTCTAAGTTGGTTATTTATTCTGTATTCAGTTCATAAGTCTGGTTACTTACACTTCCTGCCCACAAATCTTCTCTTTGTCCTGCAAGTTTAACATAAACAGATATTTCTTCTCCCTTAGTGAAGTTCAGGAATAGGCAATCAGGTCCTGTGTAATCTCTCATGGCTACAACTCTGCTTATTAAAGCTATGTAAACATAAAAAGAAAAACATACTTTAAATTAAAATGTTATTTTTCCTTCTTCCATTTTGCTCTCCTCTAATCCATTCTATATATTTACAAATGCGAATTCTTTTATGTCATTTATGGTCACAAAAACCTATATACATCTCTCACAGCACACAGCCTCAAACCCAGGTGTTTTGGCTTGGTATTCAAGGACATCCATGATCTAGTCCCCCCTTCCCTATTTAAAAAGATCTCCTTCCTATTACTTTAAAACACAGACTTAGGGCTACAATCAAGGTTATAAAACTGTTGTCCCTGGAATATTTCATTACCATTATCCAATCTGCTGAAAAGGAAAGTTAGTTTTCTTTCTTGTACCTACTATATTTCCAAACATTATGATAACCACTTTCATTTTATTTATTAAATCCTCAAAACAGATCTGTAAAGAAATCTTGGTCTGGGCTAGGGATGTGGCTCAAGCGGTAGCGCGCTCGCCTGGCATGTGTGCGGCCCGGGTTTGATCCTCAGCACCACATATAGACAAAGATGCTGTGTCCGCCAAATACTGAAAAATAAATATTAAAGTTTTCTCTCTCTCTCCCTCTTTCTCACTCTCTCTCACTCTTTCTTTAAAAAAAAAAAGAAAGAAAGAAATCTTGGTCTAACAAGTGAGCCTTTAGTTAAGGCTTAGAGAATTGGTCATACAACTCTGGTGGAGCCAGATGTGCATCAACATTCCCTCCCTCCCTTTCTTTCACTGCAGCACCACCTTTCTTATTCTGAGCTTCTATTTCTGCCCTTGGATCAGCCTAGAAGCCCTCCCAAACTGGCCATGGTGACATACACCTGTAATCCCAGCAACTCAGAGGTTGAAGCAGAAGGATCACAAGTTTGATGCCAGCCTCAGCAGCTAAGGGAGACCCTCAGCAACTTAACTAGACCTTGTCTCAAAATAAAAAAATTGGGCTAGGGTTGTGGCTCAGTGGTAGCGCGCTTGCCTAGGATGTGTGATGCACTGGGTTCGATCCTCAGCACCACATACAAATAAATAAAGGTCTATCAACTACTAAAAATTATTTTTTAAAAAATTGAAAGGGCTGGGAATGTGGCTCAGTGTCAAAGCACCTGAGTTTAATCCTTGAATCAAAAAACAAAAAAAGAGGGGGCTGGAATGGGGCTCAGTGGTAGAGAGCTTGCCTATCATGTGTGCAGCATTGGGTTCAATCTCAGCACCACGTATAAATAAGTAAATAAAATAAAAGTCTATCAACAAGTAAAAAGTATTAAAAAAAGAAAGAAAGAAAGAAAGAAAAGAAATTCTTCTCTATCTCTACATGCTTCACTCATATCCTAATTCCTCTCCAAGGCAGTCCTAATCATTTAGCCTATTCTGATTTCCCTTTCTCTGATCTTCATCATTCTATATATTTACAAATGCTAATTCTTTTATGTCATTTATGGTCACAAAAACCTATATACACTTCCCACAGCACACACCCTCAAGCCCAGGTGTTTTGGCTTAGTATTCAAGGACATCCATGATCTAGTCCCCCTTCCCTATTTAAAAAGATCTCCTTTCTATTACTTTAAAACACAGACTTAAGGGGCTGGGGATATGGCTCAAGCGGTAGCGCACTCCCCTGGCATGCATGCAGCCCGGGGTTCAATCCTCAGCACCACATACAAACAAAGATGTTGTGTCCGATGATAACTAAAAAATAAATATTAAAATTCTCTGTCTCTTTGAAAAAACAAAAACAAAAAAACACAAACTTAGGGCTATTACCCTTATTGTGTTATATCACTATTTGCTATTTTATATTGATATGTCTTGTTATCATTAAGTAGAATGAATATGGGTAGGCAACCACCTACCCCCCAGACCCAGCACACAGTATAGACCCTCAGTAACTATGAACCATAACTACTTATGCTAGAATCATACAAGGCAATGTGCATGCATTAACTATCATAATGATACTAACATGTAAAATTTTTAAATATTTTAAAGCCATACAATTAAAGTTAAAAATAACCTTATAACTTACTAAATGTTGGAGTGTACTTTTTTCATGTTCTGTCAGGCCCCAAGGATACTTAAATGGGTTATATTAAGCATAAATAGGGGAAGAGGGTTTATTATTATAATATGCTATTTAATATACTTCTTTGCATATTAAATTATTTACCCAAAGCTTGAGAAAAATGTTTACTCATAAAAATGTTACTTATAAATTATTCATGTTTACATTAATAATATTTTGCACTGCTAAAAATATGTATGTTGCAAATTGGACATAAATTACATATTGGAAAGAAAGAACTTTCAGCAACTATACTATATGAGGATTCATTTACTTTAAACATAATGCTAATAACACAAAAAATAAGTTCTCAAACAATAAAATGGAAATTAATTTTTCCTCACAGTAAATCAAAAAAGTTTAATGGTATTTATTTATTTATTTATTTATTTTTTAAAAAATATATATATATATTTTATTTTTATTTATTTATTTTTTTTTTTAGTTCTCGGCAGACACAACATCTTTGTTGGTATGTGGTGCTGAGGCTCGAACCCGGGCTGCACGCATGCCAGGCGAGCGCGCCACTGCCTGAGCCACATTCCTAGCCCCCAGTTTAATGGTATTTAATAGTATAAAATTATATTTATATTGTAAGATTTACTTCAATACTTTTATATAATAAATACAGAAATGATTAATATTTGATAAAGTTTAGACAGATTTTTTGAAATAAAAAGTTTTTTAGAAAATTTATGAGACTCATATGAAATAGAAACTAAATAGTAGAAATTTTATAAATAAAGAACTATCCAACGGCCTGATATCTTTTTTATTCAAATCAATTATATTTATCTTTTTAAAAGAACTGATTAATATTTGTGTTTGAGGTATGGATTTATCTTATTTAACTCTGATATACTTCTGTATCAATCTGATATTTGTCCTTTGTATGCTTATATTAAACATTATTAAAAAATGCTTTTCTTCCAGAATTTTTCTTTTATACTGGACTATACTTATAATTCAAATATTTCACAATTATATTAAGGTTCATTTTTTATCTCAAATGCCCACAAAAAACATTTATGTGATTTCAGAGCCTCAATTTAAGAGTAGAATGAAAAGAAAAATGAACTTACTTTCACATTCCAGGTCACCACATTTTTTAAGTTCTGCCAGCAGTTTTGTACCCTCCAGGCACTTTGTCAGTGAAATAACCAAAAGAAGGATTCTGTGAACAGCAAGTTCCGCCATGCTAAAACAAGAAACCAGGAATTCCAAATGAGATCTAAACCAGTTATTAGGTTGTAGACAAGCCAGCCAAAACAGGAGATATTCTACTGTCTTCATTAAACAGCAAAGATCTTTTGGTTTTTAGTCCCCTGATAGCTACATTTTTCTATCTGTGTGTAAGTTTAACTTGAGCAAACACTGTGTTCTCAATCTGTGGTATCCAGATAATACGTAAGGCTTAATAATTAACAGAGAATTGTAGTTGGACTAATGTCTCATAAAGGCAGCCCATGTACAACAGTCTCATTTAAAGGTACCTTACATTTGACAGGACAGTTCTCAAGCAGACCTTCACAAAAACAGTTACAGTCTTTGGGTAGATTAGTCAACAAGTACAAACCAAGTATTTGCTACATGAAAATCCCAGCCTCAACAGACAAAGTATATAGTTTTAAGTAGAAACAGCAATATAATGAAAAGTATTTAAAAAAAATTCTATTTTAATACTTTAAAAAGCTCTTCAGTGTTACTATGAAACTATAACTGTGTTTAGCTAAGAGTAATATTTAAAATGTAGTAACTATTCACTGTTTCATGTACCATCTTAAGTATGTAGATGTATGATCTGATTTAACCTATACCAACTCTATTGGATAGGCAATATTATCATCTCCATATTTGCATATGAGGGAATTTAGGCACATAGAGACAGTCTAAGTCCCAATGTCATATAGTACATGGAGAAGAAATTTAAACCTAGGCATTGTGATACTTCACACTGGTAACCATGGTGATTTACCACCAAGAATCAAGCTGTGGAAAGATGTCTACTTAGTTTATAACAATACTACTGCAGAAATAGCAAGAAAAGTACTATTCTGTGTATTTAAAATTATATGCAGGGCTGGGATGTAGCTCAGTGATAGAGCATTTGTCTAGCATGTACGAGCAAGACTAAGATAAAATGGCTGAAAAATAGGGGAGTACGATCTCAGGTGGCATTCTCTCTAATTTTCTATATTGTGTGGCTTTCTTTTTCTAAAATCAGTGAGTATATATCATTTAAAAATAATAATAAATCTGTGAAAATCAAATCATTTGAATATTGTTGTGGTTTAAAAAGAATCAAAATGTTATAATGAGAATTTTTGTGTAATAAACTGCCTAGATCTGTAGGTGCTCAGGACAGCACTTGTATGACACCACACTCCCCTCTAGTGCTTGACAGAACTAAGACAAATGCCCAGCACCTGAGAAATCTAACGTGAAGGACTTTTGCTTTCAAAGTTCTAAAAAAGGAAGTATTTGTCTTTCAAAATCAATGATAGGTACAAAGCCTGATCTCTCAGAGCTAAGATTTTTACATCCTCTGAAAGAATCTAAAAAGTAGATGCCTGTGGGTTATTTCACTGGCAATAGAGCACAGATCATTTGCACACATTCACAAACAAAAAGAAGTGGGTTCTTTTTTTTTTTTTTTTTTTTTTTTGGTACAGGGGATTAAATCTCAGGGTCACTCAAACACTGAGTCACATCCTGAGCCCTATTTTGTATTTTATTTAGAGACAAGGTCTCTCTAAGTCATTTAGCGTCTCGCCACTGCTGAGACTGGCTTTGAACTTGTGATCATCCTACCTCAGCCTCCCCAGCCTCTGGGATTACAGGCATGTGCCATGTACCCAGCGGGTAATACCTTTGAAAATCTATAACCAATGATGCCAAAGACATCTAAAAAAGAATCAAGTTTTTCAGCTTCAAAATTTGGCACAAGTTTATTAGCATAATTTATATTACCAAGTCCAATATTAAATCAAGAATATCTAGTAATTCATATAGCCTAATTATCCTTGTTATATATTCAATATTAAAAACATTAAGACTAAATTTAGGACTAATTAACATGTTCTAAATTAAGAACAATATGAACCCGGTAAAATTTAAATTCATGTGTTGATTGGCCTAAAGGAGACTTGAGTAGAGAAAAATTCTTGCCTACAATACCAGCCCAGAGAGATTCGCTCCTACCAGAAATGCTCTCACCCTCTTCTATTTAATGCACATGATCTCATTTTGTGTTCAGATCATCATTTAAATATCATTTAAAAAGATATTTAAAAGTATGATAGAACAATGTTGATTAACAGTCTCTCACAGAACCAGGTAAAGGATACATAAAGAGGACAAGCACATTTAGTTGAAAAACAAAGAAGGCTATTTCACTATAAATAACAGTCATGGTAACTTAGACATATATTACCTAATTGCTGATGTATTTGATAGATTAAATGTAACAATATTCAAATATATAAATCTAACCCTGAGGAAGGTGTCTTGGTAATAACTCAGCTAAGAACACTGAAAGAATATCCTTCTACACAAATGGAACAGGAGGTAAGAACACTTACCTCATAAAGCAAAAGAATGAATCATCAGAGCTACTCATAGTATCTTAGAGATAAAATCCCAGAACAAGTCTTCCTGTGGGAACATAAAAATGATCATGAGTGCTTCACTCCTATGCCTGGTGTGTTATGCTTGAATTCGAGACCCCCAAAAGACCACCAGAGTCCAAGATCGATGTAAACAGCAAGGAGGTGTTTATTGCGAGCTACCTCAGTCCTCCTCGTGCACACACAGCAACTGGTGATGCTGAGAGGCCCAGGGTTTGCAGCAGTTTTATACATTCTTTGGAGAAGGCAGGGACTTCACATACATCATAGCATCTCTTAGCAAATCATCACACACCCACACACCGCGGGAAAATCAAATAACAACTCTAAAACATGATTAGCACATTCACTGGCGGGAACAAGTTGGGTAGAGGTGATTGGTCAGTACAAAAGGGGTATTCGTTTGAATTTATTGGCTTAAGCAAAGAGGGGTGTTCGTGCTGAACTACAGGGTTTCTCAACACCATAAACTACTGGGAGGGTCATCTGGCATCCCAGGTATTTCCCTGTCTCATGCTGATTGGTGGCTACTAGGGGGTTGCTATGGATCCCCACCTAGCCTGACTGACACCTGGCGCAACAGATCTCTCCTGTTATTGCCAACTTAGCAGGGTGGGAATGTGCCTAGGAGTGCTCTGTGGGTCTTTCCAAGGACAAAGGTCATGTCCCTTCTTTGGACAGGCTTTGCTCTGAGATAGAGGCTGGTTTTTCAGGTGATGTTATTTTTTTTTAAGTTGGCTAATTTTATGGTATAGATTTTTTTCCTTTTTATTGGTGCATTATAATTATGCATAAAAGTTGGATTTGTTGTAATATAATCATATGTGCACACAATAAAACAGCATAATTTGATCAATTTCATTCCCTAGTACCTCCCCTTTCCCTCCTTCCTTGCCCCAATCCCCTTCTTCTATTCTGTTGGTCTCCTATTTTTTTAAAAAAATTATTATAGATGACACTAGAATGCATTTTTTTTAAAGAGAGAGTGAGAGAGGAGAAAGAGAGAATTTTTAATATTTTTTTTTTAGTTCTCGGTTGACACAACATCTTTGTTGGTATGTGGTGCTGAGGATCAAACCCGGGCTGCACGCATGCCAGGCGAGCACGCTACCGCTTGAGCCACATCCCCAGCCCACTAGAATGCATTTTGACACAAGTACATAAATGGGGTAGAGATGTTATTTCTGATGTTATTTAGTACCTTCTTCTTACTATCTCAAATTTCTTAAAATGGGAAGATAGTTCCATCTGCCCACCATTTTGGCAATTTATAAGACAGAATTTATTTAGAAAGTACTTGGGATAAGCTGAACTGATTAAGCTGGGGGGCATTACTAGGGATGGTAGGAATGGGGCATGAGAACATTCCTTTGGAAACAATCCCTATGGCAAATAGGTGTGCACTGAGAGATAAGGCCCTGGAGGGACTGAGATTCAAACTGATGTGGAAGACATGAAAACTGCCCCCCAAACCCCTCTTCAAGGTGGGACTTCTTCCCTGATAAGGGGAGTACAGTTAGCAGACTGTTTCCAACTGGTAGGTATGTCAAGGTTGGCCTCAGTGCAGTGACTTCCCTTACCCCAAATTACTCAATAATAAATCTATTGAGTAAAGGAGGGAGTAAAAGGCATGGTCATTTCAGCCTAATGTGGGAGAACCTTCCAGATACTTTTCATCCAGAGCTTCCTGTTGGGTTGACTGAGATTTTGCAGGTCCTATGTTACAATTCGACTTTCCCCTTTACCCTTTTCTCCCCTTTCCTCATTGATCCCTTGAACCCAAACTCCCTCTCAGCATCTGCTTCTAGAGTGCCTAACCTCAGAAGCTGTGATCCACAGGCACAAAAAGAGAAGCAAACAGAATGTGCAGTTTGTCTTATCATTTATCCTAGTCATTCCATGACTCTCCTTGTGTTTGTTGTTTTGTGTTGCTAAAGCCCATGTTGCAATTCCACACACTTTCTTCATTCAGTCCAAATCAATCAGAGTTCCTCTAGGAAACAAATGAAAGTTCAATTTTGAGAGATGGCACATGTCAGTGATGTGGAGGAGAATTTAATGAAGGAACTGATTATAAAGGTATGGATAGGGTTAAGAGAAATTGACAGGGATGTAACATCCCTAGGCATGAAAGAATGGTGACCCCTGCCTGAGGAATACAGGAGAGGGTATCAGGAACTTTAAACCTTTAGTAAAGGAACTCAGAAGAACCTCACTCTGCTCTGACTTCTGATCTCCTGATGGTGCCTCCCAGTGACCAAGCCTAGCCAGATATCAGTGAAGTAGTTCTTAAGGTCTGTGTTCCAGGACACAGTAGGGGGCAAAGACTGAACAGTAGATTATGAGGAACAAAAAGAGAATACTTAACATATTGTCATTTTTCCTTACTATAGGTTTTATTTTAATTTATTTTTTTTAGTGTAGGGGATGGTTTTCATATACACTAAACAAGTGGTCTACCACTGAAATATACCCCCAGCCCTAGTATGTGTTTTAAAATAAAAGAATGTAACATCCTTTACAATCAAAACGATATGTGTGTGCCAATCAAGGAACTGAATTGATCAGTTTATCAGTAGGTAGGAGA